TACCTTGATTAGTACTTTTCTGTTAAGTTTGCTTTTATCATATTTGAAAGCGGTAGTTTCTTCTTCCAGCAGTTTCCAGTGCCATTGTTCAGCTTCGGATCTTCCAGGATGGCTACTGCACAGGCACAGTCAAGAAGGCAAGACCTCCTGCATTCTGTCTGGTTTACAGGCTGCAGATATTCATGGTCACTGAAAGGCCAATCTACATAAGGCATTGAATTGAAATCAAAACGATTCTCCCCAATAATGGAGCCATCCTCGTTACAGTCTTCCAGGTACCTCTTGTAGTCTGGCTTGCATCCATTGTGCTGATTCTTTGCATCCAAGAAAGAAAACCCAAATGGGCACTGGCAAACAGCCCCTTCCATCCTGGTCATGTTGACAGATGCTGTTGTGCCCACAAGGCTCGCTTCCCAGAGGAATATCTTTACTCAAAAAGCTGAAGCAGATATCTATCGGTCTATACCACCAGGATGACCAGCTTTCATCTCCAAAGGAGGTTCTGGGGTGAGAATACAGGGCGAAAACTTCATCAAAATCAAGTGTTGCCCTATAGTATAAGTCCTGTTTTGGGACTGTATTTTCTGGAGAAATGTTCACAATACCTCCATTTGATTTCCTTATCTGGATAAACCCGGATTTGTTGAAGATCAATCCCGAACAATCTGTGATGTTGAAGTAAAAAAGGAAAGGTTTCCCAGTGTAGACATCTATTTGATTGAGAACTAGAGATTTGGAGGTGAAACGGAGTTGAAATTTCCCCTTCTTGTAGCTTGTTACAGAGAAGGCTGATGAAAGGGTACTGTTTAGGCCTAGTTCTTGTCCTGGCAAGAGGGTGCCTGTTGGATTTTGGAAGCTCTCCCATATGTTATCTGAATTCCTGCTTGCGATGACAAAGTGTCCGGTATCTAGCATGGCTGCATGGGATACTCCTCCAGTGCCATCTTGGGTGCTGTTATTCCACCAAAGCTCCATACCGGAAGGAGCCCTGAGCACTAGGCCACTGGAGGCAAGCTCAACTTTGGATTCTATCTCTACAAGGTTTTCTCCATTTGCAGACCAAACTATTGTTTTTCCGAGTATCTTTGCGAACCAGATAGCAAGGAGGAATCGATCTTGTTGGTCTGGAGCACGGCGAAACCCAAGTTCAAAATCGCCGGATGGTGATTGCCATGTAAGGTTTTGGTCATTGGTAGTGAGAAAATCGCCCACGCTTACATTGTGGGAAGCACCTTGAGCTACTGCAAGGACCAAGAAACTACTTTGGAGGATGAGCAATGGATTCCGACAAAGTGCTATAGATGAGATCATGGCATGGCATCGTGGGGCATCTGCTTCTTCAGATGAACTTTGTGGGAAGCAATTTATAAGCTTAAGTTTGAGTTCAACACAGTAATTGCTTTGACTGCTTACATTCAAGCATGACAAGGTTATTCATCTAAAGCCCAAAGCAGTCATCATTCAGGGGAGGTGGAAAACCCGAAGGTACATGGCATCTTCTAAAGTCCCAGGCTATTAAGAAACGTTTAAAAAAACCTCATGCAATGCTATAATTTCAATATTATGTATAATTTTAAAATTTTAATTCTAACAAAATATTAAATAATTATGATATATTATTAAATAAATATAATCTATTATTAAATAAGTGAGACACCTGCTTTTTCAGAACTTTGAGCGAAGCAATTTATAAGCTTAAGTTTCAGTTCAACACGGTAATTGCTTTGATTGCTTACATTCAAGCATGACAAGATTATTCATATAAAGCCAGTCATCATTCGGGGGAAACCCCAAAGACACATGGCATCATCTAAAGTCCCAGGCTATCAAGAAACCTTTAAAAAGAAACCTCAATACTATAATTATAATATTAGGTATGATCGTAGATTTATAACTCTAATATAATATTAAATAAATGTGACATGATATTAAATAAATGTATATATATAATATCATGAGTAAATTTTTAAATATAAAAAATTAATTATATAAATATATATTATGTTATTATTATTATTTTTTACCAGTGGGAAATTGGGGGATAGGAAATAGTTACAATATTGTTACATTGACAGCTTGAACCCTTGATAAAGAAGGCAAGGGGGAAGGTGCACTTCCATCACGATTAAGGTCGAAAGTGCATATTATGTTAAATTTATAATATTATGTAATATTATAATTATATTATTTTTATAAAAAATTAATCTTTCGTTCTTGGGCCAACTACTTTATTGACTTTCAGGATCAATGCCATGGGCTGTATGCATAGCTAAATAAATGACGTTATCTCAATGTCAGTTTGTCTTCTCCCATTCTACATACAATCAAAAATATATTTCAAAGATCATTAATTGAAGGCGAGAAAAATGGTTCCATTTTCAATGTCCTTAGATCTTATGGAGCTGTACCTCGTGGATTCATTAGTGATTTTTGAGGCAGAAGCTTCATGTATTTCTGAGCTGGTTTCTCCCTGACCCGGCCCGACCCAGCCCAAATTCCTTCTTACCAATATCACAGAAATACAAATGCAAAGGTGAGACGAGAACACGGTTGCGTTGTCTTGTTTGAATCGCAGTTTCTCGACTTCAATAATCAAAAGCTAAAGATAGGTCATATAAATTTGTAGCTTTACCCATCTTCTATAGATGGGTAGCCATTCAAAAATTATCTTACAATTAATATATAAATTTGTAGCTTTAATTTTTGCTATTATATTTTTAAATTTGATAAAATTTATTAATCATTTGAATAATGTGCCAACTAACTTGCTCTAGATTCCTTGTTTTTTGCATGCAAGGAAAAGGCAGATATTTTCCTTGCTCTTATACTCCTGCTCCTGCAGGTTTTCAGAATCCATTTGGCTTCTTTATTCCATGGCCATGGTCTTCTGGTGACACCAATAGGGATGGCAACGAAGCCTCTGGGTCAGAATCCCATGAAATTTTTTGACAAGAGGTAGAATTTGCTTTGTCCTCATTATTTACAAGGACCCATTTCCAGTGGGGATTTTTGCTCTAGCCTATCTATATTATAAAATTAATTTCATTGTTTTTATTTTATTATTTTAAAATAAAATATTTTAAATATTGGGTTAAAGTTAAAAAATAATGTTAAATTTGGTTTGGTTTAAACTAGGACTAAAAAAAGAAATCAGAATTTTTGAGGATCAAAGTGTCAAAATTTTGAAAGATGAGGGACCAGAATAGTGTTACTAATAAAGAACCAAAACTGCATTTAGTCCCAAAATTCCCGACACGAACGTTGTTTGACTGCTGGTGAAAGTGTCGGCATCTCTGCTCGGGGTGTCAACCCATTAGGCAATTTTCAGCAACTTCGCACGGAATTTTTATTATTTTAGCGTGTATTTATGTTTATTTTAAATAGGTTTTATTCGTACTTGCAAATACACATTTAACATCAAAACTAAAAAGCTTTGGGGCTGTCCTCTTGAGGCACTTTTCAAAAGACTAAGTCACAAGCCTTGAGCGAATAAGATTAAGAAGGTCAATATTTTCAACTTATTTTTTTATTCTTTATTTTAGTATAGATTCTGGATTCATAAATATGATTTCAGAATTTAATATGTTTATTATAAACTAATTTAGCCCAAGTGGATTATGATGTAATTTAATTAATTTAATATAGATTTTATGATTTTTATATTTTTAATTAAAATTATTTACATGATTAATTTTTATTATTAAATTTAATACTTCAAAATTCTAATCACTTGTTGATAGATTACATGATTTATACATGAACTTAAGATGCATGAATTAAAGTAATAATGATATAAATTATGTGTTAGATTATGAGATTAAAAGGTAATTAGTGTCTTTTTCTTCTTAAACTACAGGCTTCTATATCACTAATAGTCATCAGTTTGTTTTTAATTACATGAAGATATGATTAATTTAATTAGTAAAGAAAGAGTTAATTTGATTTAAAAAAACTAATTAGTTAATTTAAAAAAAAAATTGCCATTACATACAATAACAATTAATTACTCTTAGAAGTATATTAATTTAAAATTTATATTAAGGTGAAGTTGATGTCTTAGGACCTCACATCTAGATTGTCTTTTATTTTAAATGTTGTTTTCTTTTAGTTAGTTTTAGTTACAATTTTTTTATTGTTCCAACAAATCTTACATTAATTATTTTTAATATTTAATTACTCATAATTCTCGTAAATTTGATATTTTATTTATTATTATATTACTTGAGTGACTAATACATTTGTTAAAGTGAATTTGGCGCATCAACTTCTCGCTTCCTATTCTTGGGTTCTTTATGTTAAGCAAGAAATACAAATGTAACAAAAAAAAAAAAAAAAAACATATACCTTAAATACAAGAATGATTACTCTATTTATTACTAATTAGTTATAAATTAGATGCAATTATTATATTAAAACCTACACGCCAATTTTCACCGTGCTGGCAATGCCTTTCACCCACAATCCCCATTTTAATTTTACCACTACTGAAATATTTTCTTTTTGTTCATAAATAATATCAATTTGCAATCTTACAAATCATTTACCTTTTACGTGACATCTTATTTTCTACGTTAGATCTCAGATGTGAACATTTTCTGAACGTTCACTCCAATAAATAGACCTCATCCAATCAAGGGTACTGAAAATATCAAGCTGCAGCTAACAATTAATCCACTTAGCCGGACCACTATTTTCTGTCCTGCCCACTGAGAACAGGGTTTACTGCCCTGCACATTCTTGTTTTTTTTTGAAATGATTTGCTACCGATACAATGTGTTGAACACTCATGGTCTAGAGCATTAAAATGTAGTTTAGGGCTGTGAAACACTTATCCCTCGCTTCTCTTGATTTAATCATGCCAACCCCTAATTGAATGCAATCCCTCATTCTTGATCAACTTCAGATTTCATTAAGATTTGAGGTAGATTGAACCCAAGACAATCCATTCTATTAAACCATTCTGACCTCCGACGATGATTTGTGTAGTTCTTCCATTAAGTTAGCTTGATTGAACCACGATCACCTCTCTCAAATCGATGAAATCAGGTGGACAGAACCCAAGAGGCTCTACAGTGACCCTTCTCCCTCTTCAAATCTACACCATCACCCTTGGCCAAGAACGTGGAGTGGCTACAATGTCCTGTGTACTTCTCCCTTTTGGAAGCAACACTGTTACTCTTCTCCAATTTGAAATCGACATAACTAGAAGTCATCGCCACTGGAGGGGATAGTTTCTAGTATGCCCTATCTCAACCTTATCTACGTTACATGGTCTACATGTTTCT